TTCAAGGTTTTATGGAAATAAACTTGTCCTTGAGCATCATCCAGGTTTGTATAAACACTGAGAGCGCTCTGAGAATAAATTCTGGTCATACACTTACCTACACAGGGCAGGCTGGGAGGAAGCTGGAGGTGCTCTGAGCATCACTATGGCTTTTAATCCTTGTCCAAGTTCTCAGGCTGGACCTCTCCCCAGCTCTGAAACAGATTACAAAGCCACTGCTGCACACAGAAATGGAAGCAAACTGTTAGAGGCATTCATAAAGAAAAATATGAAAACCCTCCTCTGCGGGATAATCGCCTTACAAGGGAGCTGCTCCACATAGCTCCTGTCCTCGTTTGAATTCAGCTGGTAGGTGAAGCTGCAGCAGCCTCAGCCCCAGGGCTTCACCTCCCTCCTGGTATTCCAGTAGATTATCTCTAGGCTTTGGCACTGCCTGGAGATTAAGCTTGTTTTACTACAGATTCAGCTGGGGTTTGCCCTGCCTTCAGCTGCTCGTGTCCTCCAGGGTACAACGTGCAGCATTAACTCCCTAAAAAGCTGCAGGATGGCTCAGCTGAATTTTTTACCACTCAGCCCCCAAAGTAGCATCAGCTCTCCCCTCGATCCTAAGTGGAACCTTTTGGTGAATTCAAAAGCCTTCAAGCGAAGCCACTCGGGCTGTGCTGTTTCTGGGGATCAGGAACAGCAAGGATATGCCTGGTGGGAATGCTCCAACAGCTCTAAGAAAGAAAAAGCAGCATCAGTGGACCTAAAATCAGAGTGATGTGCAAGAATTAGGGACAGACGCTCTGCTCCAGCCCAGGGAACAGGTAGGATGTGACAGTTTTGGAAGTGTCTAGCTCCCAAGTGTCAGAAATGTTGATAGCTTGTGCAGTTGGTTAGCAGTGGCTGGCAGAAAGGAGCCTGGGGTGCAGCATAGCTCCTTTTCAAAGCACCAGGCCTTCTTCTGAGCCACCACATGGTGCTGGCACAAAAGGATCTCAGGAATCAGCAGAGCCTCAAAGACAAACGGTGTAAGAGATGAAAGATTTGGAAGGAGGAGCAGGAGTGAGAGCAAGAGCTTCTTTCTGACACCAGAAGAGCTGTTTGCAGCTAAGTGTGACATGAACAGAGAAGAGGATTGGCCTTTTCCCCAAATTAAAAGCCATAGAATGGTTTGGGTCAGAAGAGAACTTAAGGATCATCTTGTTCCAAACCCTCTGCCATGGGCAGGGACACCTCCCACTAGCCCAGGTTGCTCAAAGCCCCATCCAGGCTGGTCTTGAACTCCTCCAGTGATGGAGCACCCACAGCTTCCCCAGGAAACCTGTTCCAGTGCCTCACCACCCTCCTGGTGAAGAACTTCTTACATCTAATGCTACCATCTTCCACTGATTGATGAGACACCAACAGCAAAAACACTGGACCTGGGCTGGGAGATGAGCAGCCACACGCCACCACCAGTTCTGCCTGCGAGCTGGAGAACAGAGGAGCTGACAAACCATCTTAAGAAAACAATTTTTATTTCCTTTTTTTATCATTATTTTTATTTTTTCCCCCCCTTTTTTTGAAGTTCTGCTGTTTACAGATATGGGTTTTTTTAATTTCAGATAATATAGCTTCGTAGCAATAAAAATCACAACGCAGTTAGAGCAGCTGAGCTAAGATCCATAAATACCAGCACAGAAAACAGACAACCACCAATATTTCTATACAGGAACTATCATTTTAATGTCATATTTTGACAAGGGTAAATGGTCTACAGAATGGATGTGGGCAAAAAAAAGGCAGGAAGTGAGTCTTTTGAAACCCTAGATGTAGAATAAACAGCGCATTATCAACATTGACATGATTCACATCAAATTGATGACATCCTAAATGTATTCCTTTTAAAGGATAGAAATTTTTCAATAAAATATTACATTTCATTTAATACTCTGGTACAATACTTCATACATTGCAAGGAAAAAAAAAAAATAAAATAAATGCAAGGTCTACTCCACCTAAAGGAGGATCCTAAGAGGATCCTTTTTCATTAGTCTTTAGTACTGTAATAAAAAAATCACAATAATGTCATAAATAAACAGGCTTGAAATTATTAATTACGTCTCACTAAGAGGGAGAAATGAAAAATTAATTTGAAATAATGAAGTTACGGGTAGAAAATCCAAACCTGACAACACATCCTAGTACCAGCTGTGATTTTTCCCATCCCTACGACAAAAAAAAAAGAGGAAACTGGTTTTATAACTTCGTTAGCCATATCCTAGTTAATTGTGTTTCAAACACATATCTTAAGAGGGAAAAGTAAAGTTTGGTCAGGGTTAATAGGAGAACCAATCAGTCCTAACAACAGTTAGCTGAAATTAAAAGTGTAGGCTAGAAAACATTCAGTAAATGAAGTCTGCAGCAAATTCGTGCTGGCATAAATTATTGTGCCTTAGGAGTTGGGTTAAAGTTTCCCTTGTGGTATAAAGTCTTCTACAACAGAACACTTCAGAACTGCATCCCTTTTCCCTTCCATTGGTACAGCAAAAGCTTCTCAATCAGTGCTCAAAATTTAGGCTCTAAAAACTCACTAGAAATGGATGAAAGCCACATTTGCTTATCTCCCCTGAACTGAAGGACATTCCTCTCTCTTGCTTCATCTGCCTTAAACTCCAGCTGTTGTTTAAAATGATTTTTAAATGCTTTAAGAACCTTCCCTCTCTTGTCAGTGCATGGCAGGCAGGCAGATTTTGTTTTTCAAGCTCTCCCCTTTGGTATTCAGCAGGGTCTAATGCTCCAGTTAAGAGAGAAGTGTTTGTTCACAATCTTTCAGATTCTGCTCCCCCTTCATTGACATTCTTCCACCATATGCTCCCCAGCATTAATGCACATTCTGCAGTAAGAATTCCCTGGTTCCAAGAAAAAAAAAAGAAAGAAAAACAAAATCCTACAGTGGCAGGGTCTAAACAGCTAAAATGAGGTCGTCAGAGGCAACTTGATGTTGGCCACATAATTGATTGCTGCTTATACAGGTCAATCTTTTAAGACACATCACATTAACTGAGTTCATAACAGTTCAGATTCACCCAGGATCCTTCTCTCATTTCTCTGGACTCTTCCCCTGACTTTTCAGTTTGGTGCAGAATAGCTCCAGACCCAAACATGAGTTCCACCTTGCTACAGCTTATGAAGTGGAGAATTTGTCTAACTCTGCACAGTTTCAGAGAAAGAATTCATTGCTGTCAACTGCTCTATACCAATACCAACACTCATACCTGATCCTGGTTCGGCAGGATGAAGCTGTGAACAGGGACAAGAGAGGAAGCAGGTGATGCCACATAGCAAGTTCACTACCAAAGAAGAGATTTCTCTCTCATCATGACTAGAAATTTTAAATCTAGGATGAGCACAAGTATTTTATGACTAGAGCATAAGGCTACGACAATAAAATACATATTATGGTATGCTGGTGACAAGAGTTCCAAAAAAAACAAATCCCAAAGCCTCAGAAGACAAGAAGGACAATAGGCAAACAAAATTCTGCTGAACATTAAAGAAGCACCTTCACTCAGTTCAAAGTGTTCAAATATTTGATTTTTGCAAAGCACTCTGAGGAAAAGGTAATGTAATCTCCCACTTCACCTTTCACCAAGCTGCATTAAGGACATTCCAGGCTTTAGCATAATTTCACTAGTAAGGCCAACACCAGAATTCCACTGGCCCTGCACCCTCCCATACAGCAATTAACCTCAGCATCCACCATCAGCACAGTGTGACAGTGGCAATAATTCCCTAACACCACCTAAGTCACAGATCTTCCCCAGAACCATGGGGAAAGGCCTTGGAGAGACACCAGCAGTGGCCCCTCCTCGGGCCAGATCCTGCCATTAACACACACATGCTAATGGCTCCCCGGGGGGGCGTCTCCACAGCCAAGGGAGCGAAGGGAAACACC